ATCGAGGAGACTCTGAGCCATGTTCCCTTCTTCGTCGATTTTCGCGCCGTGTATACGGATGAGCGATGAGAGAAATAGGTCTAAGGCCGGAAGCACGGCATGGGCAGAGTTGCCCTAGGCCGAATCATGCACCGTTGTATCCTAACCATTCGACTTGGGACCACGGCGATTGTGGTCATTTTAGTACGTGCACACCACTGTATTATCAAATCACTGGCTATTTGGCAGAACGCATGTTGTTGTTGAGCCGTGCAAGCATGCTCGTGCACCCTATCTAACATGTTCCTCTTCGGATATAGATATACGAAGCAGCGTCCTCAACCGTATTCCCATGGACTTTCGCCTTTAGGATACGCGCGACAAAAATAGGACATCAAGCGATTCGACAGTCAACCTGCAGGCGGATATGAAAGATCGCCGGGGCGTTGACACAGTTGCGAAATGGCACAGATTGCAGATTGCAGATGCATGCGCGCGCCGTTTTGCAACAGCATTGCACTTGCAGTGCGATGGCATTTGCAGTGGTGGCGAGGGGAAGGATTCTCTCTGTCCTGTTTCATCGGGGTCGGCACCAAACGGCAAGCTGCTGTAGCCTGTCCTGCAATAATGGCACGCTGAAAGCAGCGATGGCGCTCGTATCCAGCAATGCGGCAAATGGGCAGCTGCGCGGGACATTTGCCTCATTGGTGCAACGTGCCTCTTGCTGATGGCCGCGACGGAGGCCTGAGGATGGTGCAACACTGACTGCGAACGAAGCAGCGAAGCACACGGGCGCTGAGCGCGCATCATCTGCGAGATGGACGTTCAACGTAGCGATTCACGCGCGGAGGCCCTATCAGTGCAGACGCTGGCGGTGTGGGATGGTGTGCAACCCCTCAGTCTCATTGCAGCCGTCAGCCCTGCTCGCCGCGTAGCGTTTCGAGGCGGCAAGGGTGCTACTTTCCAGGGCCGTTCTAGTGCAACAGGACCCGCGCCATTCGCTGGCCTTCGTTCGCCCGTCGAGGCTCTGTGGGCGGGTGCGCGCTGGGGAGCTCTAAGCCTTCAGGAGTGCAGCTGCGAGAAGTGTAGGTGTGAAACCGCAAGACGCAGGACCGTCTCGAGGTTACATTGCGCGCGCAATGGGGAAATTCAGGTGCGGGTTTGTGGGCGGACGGTTGGCTGCACGTGAGGACGTCTATAATTAACCGTGCTAGCTGCTTGTTTGGGCGCCATGGATCAGCGCCTGGGTGGGTCCAGCAGACGGCAAAGAATGGTGATCTCGCGGCCAGGATCTGACGCTACCAAGTGAGCTGTGAGTTGCCTCGGACACTGACTTGACGCCTCGCAAAGTCTCGTCGTGATGTCTGTTGCCTTCCCCAAGAGTCGCTGAAATACACACACGCCGGCATGCTCCCACACAGTCTCACCTCCGCCGCCCTGAACCCACGCCCACGCCCACGTCCACGTCCACGTCGCCCACGGCCATCGCACGCCTCGCTCGCCCGCCCGCCCCCAGAAGATGGTGGGGAGGAGAGCACCGCAGGACGAGGGACGCCATCTGGCCATCCAAACCGACTGCAAGGGAAAGGCCGCTGCGGGCTATGACAGAGGCGGGCCAGCGCGAGCCGTCTACGGGCGCTCGCGCACCGCTTCGGTGAGCTCAGCAGAGGAGGAGCAGGTCCACACGCACCTGTCGGCCTCGTCTGCGGGCAACACCGACATCTCGTCGTCGTCTGGCATGTCGGGACATTCGACGGCCCGCACCTCGACCATGGACGACGACGACCGGCCCAGCGCTGCCAGTCCCACGAGCCCTTCGCCGCACGCCCACCCCGCACTCACCGTCCTCGAGCTCGTCTCCAACACGGCGTCGTCGTCGGCGCTGCCCGATGCCTTCGACTTCAATGTCTCGCGCAAGGGCAACTTCATCGCCGTGTACTCGTCGTCCAACATCTGGCTGGTCAAGACGACCCAGCTGCCACGACTGTGGGCGCGCACGCTGCAGGTCAAGCGCAAGCCCGTGGCCATTGACATCACAGAAGATGGGTTTCTGCTGGCAGTCTTGTCGCGGCCGTCGCAGGTTGACCTGTACGAGATCCATGGCGAGCACGATCGCCAGATCAAGAAGAGGCGGACCGTCTCGTTGGTGCACGAAGCCTCGTCCATTGCAATCTCCCCAGACGGCCTCGTCATCATCACCGGGAACAAGTTTGGTATCGAGGTGGTAGCCATAGGTCCCAATGCCCCTGAGACGGCTCGCCGCACCCTTTCCGGTCCGGTCGGCGACACCCTCGAGTTTTCTGACGACGGCCGTACACTGCTCATCACGAGCTACGCACGCAAAGCCATCAGCTCTTCTCTCTACATTCTGCCCGGACTCTTCGATGGACCGCTCAACGAAGAGGGCGTGCCTATCCCTGAATCGCCAGACACGCTTTGGACGGGGTCGATGCTCTTTCCCGAAACCGCGAAAATAGCGCGTCAAGCCACGCTCCTTCCAGATGCAGACACGGGCCACGTCAGTGAGCTATTTGCATTCAACTCCCAGGAAGACACATGGGGCGTCTACGATTTTGCCACCCAGCGCTTCACCCAGCGAAAGATGTTCCTGCCCGATCAGCAGCGATGGACGCGATCCGAATTTGTCGACGATGCAATGCCTGCCGTGTCACCAAATGCCGACCTTGCTGCCGTTTCTCTAAGGATGCGGGGTACTACCAGTATCTGGATCTATCAAGTTCCCGAGTGGGATTTTCAATCGACTACCAAATCCGACCTTTCGCCTATCCAGCCTTGCTTTTGCATTCCCATCTTGAGCGATGGCCCAGATACCTACCAGGAGATTTCCGCGCTTCGATGGGTGACCATCAGTTCCAAAGTACAGCGTTTGATTGCCGTCGGTAATTCTAGCACGGTATCTGCGAGTGAAGTACCGGATGCTCCAGCGGGATCCAAAGGCATTGTAATTGTTCTGGATTTTGACAAGTCGAAACCCGTTGGCAGCCCTGTGCCACGACCTACAAAAACAGAGTACGATTTAGATCCACTTTGCCCGGGGGAGATGCTCCCCGAAGGCTCAATCGACTTCGAACGGGAAGTAGAGCTAGTGAGGACAAGAACGCTAGCCCAACGAAGAGCTCAAGATGGTGACGGTCGGCGGAACTCAAGAATCGGCTCTGCGCCAATCCGTGCTCGAACTACGGCCAACAGAGACCGCCCTGCATCTATTCGTAGGCCTACTGACGAGGATGAGCTGACGGCTGAAGAAGCCCAGGCTGCCTTCGAGATGCCCTATGACAACCAGCAGCCAAGATCGCAAATGTCACTGGCCAGAGCCGCAACGGTAGCTGCCGTGTCTCCTGCCAACAGACGGCATCTCCGAGCCCTGCCTTTCCGACCTTTGGAGTATCGACGTGCGGATGGCATGCGCGAAATGCCTCACGAAAGTGACGCTGACAATTGGGTCCCACCACCGCCAGCATACACCGCCACTGCAGAAGCCGCCCAGAGTGTTAGCCTCAGTCACCCTAACGGGGCACCGGTTTCAGGCCCCTCAGGCACCAATGTTGGATCCTCGATTCCGCCTGTTCCTGCACTGCCAGCAAATCTGGCTCAATTCATACCACCGATGGCACCGACCCATCCCTATCAATCTCGCGGTGCTATGCAATCACAGTCATCAACCGATTTGACCTCAACCAGGGCCATTTCGCCAACTTTCGTCACACCTCCACAACAGCGTCGTCCATCCCTGCTACATCCTACTACGTTTCCCAGTCCAGAGAGCATTGGTCCAAGTCGAAGACGTAGTTCTACGAGTCGAACGCCTCAACCACAGATCCCAAGAGTCCCTTCGCAACACCAATCTGCGTATCGAGCCACGGCAGCGCACTACAACAATGCAACCCGACCAAATACCCGACCGAGTCTCCGAGCACGCAGAGCTGTAGAAAGCAGCGTCGATCTCCGCCCTCCACCCATCATCGATCCTGCTAACGGTCGCCGAGGCTCCGCTCCAAACGTAGGGATTCCGCGTCGTCCCCTTCCCGCAGGTGCTTCGCCTAACAGGGTGAGCATGCCGTTGCCGCAAGCCAACACCAGGCGCAACCTACTCCCACGAATAACTACGCGCGGTGATGCGATACCGCAACCAAGTGTCGGGCCGCTTTCCGCACCACCACGGACGACTGCGGGACACGCGAGAGCGCCGTCGAGACTGAATCTGAGGGGCAATGCCGGAGAGAAAGCGAGCAGCCCGAAAAAGAAAATCAACTGTATTGTCATGTGAAGAGAAGATGTATTTCCTTTGTTTGGATTTTGGAATTGTAACTGGGATTCGGCGTCAGAGTGCATTATATACCCATGGGTGTTAGGGCGCGATAGTGAGAGAATTCCTGGAGCAGCACGCGGAGGATGGGGGGGTTTACGAGTGCCTTTTGAAGGGGTAACCTCGTGTGTGTGGTCATTAGATGAGATAAAGATGTCGAAGCGAATTCACCAATTTTCTTTTGTGAGAGGTTTCAGCACTTGGGCGTAGCTTCAGCGTGACTTGTGTGATGCTAACGCTTCGATTGCTCGAGGATGTACGGAAGAAAGGAGTGTATGATTTGACTTCTACAGCAGAACAGCCCGGGCGGAAAGGATTGAAGGAGAAATCTTGATGTCGATGTCAGAATTGCAACCAGAAGTAGGGCAGCAATTCAAGGATAGAATAACATGAAGCGCTCGTGTGCTCGTCTGAAGCTTCCCTATGAGCAAAAAGAGCCGCAAGCAAATACCAGCACAAGAAACAGCCGTGCAAAAGCTGCCAAACAGGTAACATGAACAACAAGGTCCTGCCGAGCGCGACAAGCCACGCGTCGATTGCGCGAAGCCCACCATTGCGCCATCCGCGCAAGAAACGCGCAACGCTGTGCACATATAAAAAAGCGAGCGCCGCCACCGCTTGCGGGTAGGGTTACGCGGTCCAAAAAAAAAAGGAATGGAGGGTAAAAAGCCAAAAAAAAAAAATGATGATTTGAAGCGGTGAACCAGAATTGAACTGGTGACCTTCAGGACTCCGGTGAGGACACTGCAGCCCGCTGCTCTACCACTGAGCTACCACCGCGGGGATATTTGTTTATATCCGATTGAGAGAAGTATGAAATATATATCCTACAATGAACGAGAAAGAGATAGAGGGGAGAAGGTTGCACGGAGGCGTACGGAGGGGCTAGCAGGCTAACGTGGCGTTTGGGGCACAGTCAGGAAAAAGAAGCGAGGGGTAGGGTGGCGAGTGTGGGGCGCTGTGGGGAATCGGCGGTTGATTGGTTGGGAAGGTGGACTCGGCTACGACTGACGGCTGGAGAAGCTACAGCGACACTGCTAGCGCAAGAATTCTGTGTCGACGATATTCGTGTTGGTGGTTGCTGTTTTGGATTATTCAAGGCACAATGGGACATGAGGCTGTTGTGCTCGTTTAAAAAACTGAGATACAGCGGTCGGTCTCGGAATCCATCGTCGATCACGTGCAGCCTGTTGAGATAGTAACAATCATGAGGTTAGCACTATACGGTGCCTTGCTAAACGTTCCGGAATATCATGAATTCCGTAATCGGGTTGGAAGCAGGGCTAGTTTTTTGAAAGCTCTAGCACTTGCTTTACCAACTAAACAGTATCAGCTGCAATCGGTTCCCAACATAGCCTTGTAAGTTTTCAAGATGCGGTGAAAGCACCGCTATGCATTCTTCCGAAGCTTGCGTGATAATGAGCTGGAGAGGAATCAACGATGGGTTTAGAGAGCCGCCTGATAATACTTTTTGGCTTCTATACAAATGTCTCATTTCTTGTGTATGTTGAATGCTAGTATTCACCAGCGAGAACTCGTTGCATCCCTTAGAGCATGCTAGTAAAACCAAACCTCCCTGCTCCCAATCCAGCATAGGATTTCATCATGTCCTGAGCGCTGGCTTGATAGTCGTCTTGGTATCCTAGCAGAATTCACGAATAACCCCAGTCTCAGTGCTGTCTTTCAAATCGCATAAGCAAAACTGAGCAGTATAGTATTCTATGGGCCACAGGTACTCATATAATCTCTCGACGTTTGATTGGCATGGAAAGGCCAAAGTGGATGTTCAGGATGAATGAGTGACTGCCCTCCTCAGCTCCCTCCCTCCCTCGGTGGCTCACCAAAATCGCAGGAAACCAACGCCAACATGCCGGCTTTTGGTAATATATCCACGACCGGCCCAGCTGGCTCCCGACCAGATCTACAAGATGCTCGACAAGGTGCGCGGCAAGGACATATACGGGCGCATTTGCTCGTCCGAGCGCATCGACGTCGGCCCCATCGCGTACAATGCGAAGTGCAAGTTCGCGACCAACAGCCACTTGACCTTCTAGGTCGAGAGCGATTGCACGCAGCCGTTCACGAAGAGCCTGTGCGAGCTCTTCATCAAGAGTCTCGTGGACGCGGCACGCTCGACGATTAGCTCGGTGAAGAACTGCTATCAGGTTCGTGTAGTATATATACATAACTATTCAGTCCACGCTAAAGGCAAATAGGTCCTACCTGGGTGGCAAGTGCAATTACATGTGCAACGGGTACGTGCAACTGAATACACGGGCATGGTGTACCCTCGCTGACGTCTCCAGTCCCGAGGTCTTCCAGGTCGGTCTGAATAATCGCCAAGACGACTTCCCTCACATGAGGCTCAGAATGCAATTCAACGGCAATACGCTCGAATGCCACTTCGACTGCATCGGCTCGCAAACGCCCGTGTGGGACTCTATCGAGGAGCCTGAAGGACTACGCGGATGTGCTGGAGTCTCCGGTGCGTATTTACCTGGTCTTTCTACAACTTTGAGTGTCTTTCAAAGTTGGGATTGATGAGCTGACTTGTCTTTGTGTGATTAAATCAGAGCGTGGGTCGATTTTCCAAATAAGCATATCAGTGGTGATCGTAACGCGGGATTTGGTAAGTGTCCTGGGAAATGCGAGGATACTTACCCAGGACAGAAGTTCGGAGATCCAAATTTAGGACCGACGCCCAATCCGACACCTATTGGACCACCTTCAGAGCCTGAAGTGAAGTAGGAGTGTAGTAAGCGGCTTCGAAGCGTTAGGTCGGAGAGATTGGGTTATATGCGTGAGATGTTGGATCTCATATGAAGGAGACTGAAGGCACGGCAGAGGCCATGATACAGCAGGGCTATTGAGATCTGTTGGTTGGTAAATGAAACTTCATTTGGCCAGATTCTAAATCTGTTGATCATGAGAAGACAGTTGATATAGGCAACGTTACTGCGACTGCTTTCACAGTGCTTGGACCGAAGTATACATCCTCATAGTGACTAAAGTTACCTCGAAATGCACAAAGACTGCCTTTCAATCTCTGTCCTGTGACTGTTACGTGAAGTGTGTTATCCTAGGGCACACAACGCAAATACAAATTTGACGAATGATCGAGCGTCGAACAGTCTCCAGTTCATCACCAACTGTGACTGTGGATATATTTGTCCTTCCACCAAATCAAGGATCATGGTCCCTCACGCCCACTTCCCCAACAAACTCATTAATGCCATACCAGCAATCAGGAAGAAGAGAGCAACCGCTGTCTTCACTATCCCCGCATTCAAAAGCACACCATGCAACCAATCTCTTGCTAGCATTTCATGAATGCCCACCCATGCTAAAATACCCGCGCTCAGCGCGTCTAGCGTACCGATTGCGACAAGCGTCGACGGGTCACTACCGTTGAACTTATCTAGGACGCCGATACCAATGGCCATACCAATGGGCGTGACGAGCGCAAAACCAGTCGCCATGATACATTTCCACAGCGTTGATGCGGCGGTCGGTGCGAGGCCGGCGATACAGGTGCCGAGAGCGAGGCCTTCGAACATTTGGTGGAAGAGGATGACGATGAAAAGGGTGATGAAGAAAGAATCGCCTGCTACAACAAGGGTGATGCCAATTACTATTGCAGTGTTAGCTTCAGTGGCATTTATGAAGAGACATACGATACATACAGAGAGAGTGAAAGATGATGCCCGCTTCGAGCACGAGGACGTTGACCTTCGCATCCGTCTCGCCGTGGATGCTGATGTGTTCAGCATGCCCATGAGGTGGGATGACGGCGCTGTTCGTAGGACTGACAGACTTTGCATCAGCGTTAGGAGGAGTTGCTTCGGTGTCATGCCCACTCCTTTTACTCTGACGCCATAGAAGGAATCGCTTGCTAATGTAGTCGACTAGGAATGACAAGAACAGCCCGGCCATGAAGATAGCGGCAGTAGTAGCCTCGTAGGACAATTCGCCCAAGCATTCGTTACTGAACATTAGCCCCGCGTGAGTGAAAAGCTGTTCTTAGATTAGCATCAGCTTTGTAATCAAGTATAAGAACTAGACTTACGTGCACAAAAGCAGTCGACAGAATGACACCAGTACCAAATTGCTTTGCAGCTACGAAAACGATGCTACGCTGACTCATGCGTGTGAACCTCGTGGCGAGAACAGGGGCAAAGACTCCTATTGCGCTAGTTGCGAGGATCACGAAGAGGAGGCCAATGCGGAGAGGTTTGTTATAGTCACGATCTGTACGCTCACAAGTGGCTGCCTCTGCTGTCTCGCCCACGCAGTGCCTACAAAGATTAGCATAGGGTATTTATGACCCGTACAATATAAAAACTTACTCAACGCCTGCGTGGAAATGGCAGTTCTGGCCTGCATGTGCATCCCCCTCGGCTTCCTCAGTTTCAGTTTCATGTTCATGATCATGACCTTCCTCGCCTTCGGCACCTTCTGCGCCTTCGACAAGAATTTGGACATCGTCACCGGCTGAGTTGACGCAGTAGCTACCAACATTAGCGGAGGGGATATCATAGTAGTGCAATGTCTCACGTGTCACTGCCGTGTGTATGACATCCTGTATATTGTGCTTCCATTTCTTCGGTTGCAGTAGGCCCGACTACTTCGTACTCCGCCGTACCGACCACACAATATCTGTGCGTATTAGCCATGTGCCGGGTCGATACTGAAAGGACTCACTGAGCCGTGCCGTGAGCATGGCAATCTGATACTGCAGTGATCGATGGCGTTGCTACAGATGCCGTCGATGGAGCCTGGGTTGTAGTCTGTGCAGTGACGGATGCAGAGAGAAGAGCCAAGGCTGCTGAAGCCGCGATCTTTGTAGCGGACAACATGTTTTGAATGAACACAACTCAAGCAATTTGAGCTATATCGACACTGAATCGAAGTCAGAGAAGACGATAAAAGATATAAGTCTCTGCTTGTAGCGGCTAACGAAGAAATGGTATTTCCGCCCACGCAAGGCTGTTCATGCCAAGCGCAGCGCATACCGTGATGGCCGTCTAAGAACTTGGCGGAAAGAGCTTGATTCGACCGGAACCCTAGTTTCTCTCTCGGCTTGTCCGAATGTTGGCCTTACCTTCCCACGCGGGAGACTTAGCGTCCGCTATTGACCAAGTCTCACCTCTTGGCAGTGAATGTGGACACCCGTGGTGGAGACTGTTCGGCAATACCTTAGTGGACTCTCGGGTGACTATGCACGTGTTTTAGTAGAAATGTGTGTCATCGAGCTGTATGGTAGGGTTCGCGGGGTCGGTGTTTCCTGGGCGTGAAAAAATCATCGCTGTTCGCTCGTCCAACATGGTACTTTCCCTACCGCCACATTCGACATTGAACAAGACTTCCTTGTACTTCAAGTCTTGGCTGATCGTGATGAGCTTAGTGAAGCCGAACGCTATACCGTTATTTGGTGTTCAGCTGCCCAACACTTGACCTGGCTCGTGGCAGGAACCACTATGGTGGACAAACAGGTAAATTGAGAGCATGCCCAGCGAATCCGTCACTCTCGGCGTGGTGGTGAAGTGACGTGACGTGAGGATAGAGGGGGTAGCAAGGTGTATTCGTGCGTCAAGGTATAAGAAGCATGGTACCTGCAGCAAAGCTCAATCACCATCGTTTCGATTCGCCGCTCCAAAGGTCCCTTCAATTGGTATCCAATATGGTTGTGCTTCGGTCATCTGTCCTCTTCTTTGCCTCCTCGGCCCTGGCCTCGCCAGCTTTTGTCCCCCGTCAAGCTAGTACTGTGACTGTTACTCAAG